AGGGGGGACCTGGTGGGTGTAGGGCAGGGGGATGCTGCAACCCCCAGGCAGCCATCATGTGGGGGAAGATGCTCAGCACCAAACTGTCTCAGTGATCGTGTTGTTCCTGGAATCCCAGATTGGTTTGGGTTGGAAGGGACCCCAAAGATCATCTAGTCCCAGCCCCCCTGCATGGGCAGGGACACCTCCCACCAGCCCAGGCTGCTCCAAGCCCCATCCAACCTGCCCTTCAACACTGCCAGGGAGGGGGCAGCCACAGCTTCCCTGGGCAACCTGGGCCAGGCTCTCACCACCCTCACAGCAAAGAATTTCTTCCTGATGTCTCACCTAAACCCCCCCCTTCCAATTTAAAGCCATTACCCCTTGGCCTATCACTCCATTCCTTTGTAAAAAGGCCCTCCCCAGGTTTCCTGTGGGCCCCTTCAGCTCCTGGCACTCCACCTAGATCGGGAGGAGGGAGCAAAAACCTGTCCTGCCTCTTTAGTTTTATCAGCTGGGAGTGGGGATCAGCCCAAGCTGCAGCCTTACACCATGGGGAGATGTCAGCTCTGCTCTTCAGTCTGTATTTCTGTAGTTTGAGGCTCTTTGATAACGTGCAAAATGAATCTCATCACCTCCAAGCCCAAGAGAAATCTGCTCTACAATCTAGGTCTGAGCTGCCTGACTCGAACCATCAGTCACACACAGGCACCTTCTAGAGGTTTCTTAGTAGATGGGCAAAGATTAAACCCATCTCTTCAGAAAACTCCCAAGTCTGCATTTGAAAAAGAAGCTATTCATTTTGACCTGAGGTCTGTGGATTTCTGAGGACAGAGAGATCCAATGAGGTGCCAGGTGACTCACAGGGAAAGGTGGGTTGGGGAAGGCACCTCTGCAGTGTCTGCCTGGGGAGAGCTGGTGCCCATAGAGGCACCAGAAAATCAACCAAAAGGCTCGTTTCAAATGCCTGTTTTTTACACCTGACCTTTCCCCCCCCCCCCCTTCTTTTTTTTCTTTTTTTACTGTTTTTTTTTTTTTTTTTTTTTTTTTTTTTTTTTTTTTTGTTTTTTTTGTTGTGTTTGTTTTTA